ACTAACAATTCAAGAGAGTTACTTGAAAGTTTAGCCTAGGGCCCCCACATCCCTTTAATCCCAGCAGTTCAGGACTCTTAGGCAGGAGTATCACAACTTCCCAGGAAGGCTCATCAAGTTAGGCACTGAACGACTTAGAGAAATTCTCTCTCAAAATAGAAATAATTAAAAATAAAATAGGGCAGTGAATGTGGCTTAATTGTTATGCACCCTTTGGTTTAATCCTTGGTACAAAATATAAACAAACAAATGAATAAATGAATAAAAAATTAATTTATACCAGGGATTCTGGAGTCTTATCTTACTCAGGCATGGTCAATCTCACGTCTGTTATTTTCCATGCATGAGTTATGTTTTGCTGTTCCTCAGTACTCTTTGTACATTTTTTTAAGTGAATGAAATATGTTTCTTGGGGCTGGGGCTGGGGCTCAGTGGTAGAGTGCTTGCCTAGCCTGCATGAGGCACTGGGTTTGATTCTCAACACCATATACAACTGAAAAAAGTTCCATCAATAACTAAAAAAAGAAAAAAAGAAAATGTGTTTCTTCCTTTTCTCCTATTCTGTGGTTTCTGTTTGTTGAAGGCTTCATGCCTTTGCTTAGAGACTAGGTGTCTGAGCTATGTTTAGCAAATTATTTTGTATTCAGCTCCTTTGAAAAATTTCCCTGAATGCTAGATCATCCAACAGAATGGAAACTTTAGGGGTTTTGAAGCTGACAGGCTGAGGATTGGCAGACTGACTCCCACCAGCTGTGCTCTCTGACATGTCACCATGCAGGCTGGCAACAGCTGCAGGTACCTGTAATGCAATAGCAGAAGCAGCCAACAAAGTAGCAGAGAAAGAACAATCCCTCTTCAGGTTGAGCATAGTAAAAGTCCCAAATGTGTATGAGTCTTTAGGCCATTGGCAAGCTTGTTCCCATATAAGAAATAAAAAATTCACTCTCCAATATGTTGCCCCAATTTTCTTTCTTGATATCCTCAAAGCTTGTTTATGTATAAAAGTAAAAGCCCTGATGTTCTCTGGGCTCACGCCTTGGGAATTATTTTTCTGGGCTGTACTGCCACTAATAAACTGTTGCTGCCAGATTTCAGTGTCCCCTGGCCTCATTTCTCCATACACCAGAAACTAGAGAATGACAGTAGAAACAGGAAACCTCACTTGTCTGGTTTTTGTGAGTAGTTGTGCTGGGGCCTGTGCATTAATACTCAGTGGTGCTATTAAAACTCTGCTATGTCTTTGCCCTGCAGATCCCCACCTGGAGAGCAACCAGTGCTGAGCATGTGGGTCATGGTCCTCTTTAATATTTCCTCCTAGTCTGTGTGAACTTCCTTCTTTCATCAGTATATGTCGGTGGTTTTATTTGGGGGAGCATACTGTGGAGTAAATCCTCGGGTGCTTAACCACTGAACCAAATCTGCAGCACCTTCCCCCTTAACTTTTATTTTTGTTAACTTTCATTCAGGATTTTGCCAACCTCCTTAGGGCCTAACTAAGTTGCTAAGGTTGGCATTGAACTTGAGAACCTCCTGCCTTAGCTTCCTAAACCTGGTTGTTTTTAAAACCTGATTTTTAAAAGAAACTCTCTGAAGCTTTCTTGGTCAAATTTTAGGTGATGGTTGAGTGGGTAGACAATAGTTTGCTTTCTTGCTATTTGCAGGCTGTTTGTTTACTTAAATCCTTTTAAGGAATTTCTGCTGATTTTTTATAGTGATTACTTCTGATGTAGAAGACTGAGAGTTGGTTTTAGGCGTTAATATATTTCCATGGTTGAGCTGGTGTTGTGGCTCAGTGGTAGAACACTCACCTAGTACATGTGAGGCCATGGGTTCAAGCCTCAATACCACATTTAAAAAAATAAATGAATAAATAAAGGTATTGAATTCAATTACAATTAAAAAACAAAATATTTTTTAAAAAATATATTTCCATGGTGATTTTAGTATGAATTGCCCAAAACTGAAGAAGATGTGCTGTGTGTAGTCTGGAGTCATAGAGGGTCAGGCTGAAGGGATCATGAAGGTCAAACCATGGTTGCTGCACTGCACTCTTCCATATGACTGCTTCACGGAGCTGGTGGGAAACTTTCAGGGCTTTGCGGCATGATGGCATTGTTGTTCTGATGGTTTGGCTTGTGTTTCCAATTCTGTTCTATCTCATGGCTGTACTGAGATGATTCCAGGCTCACTCTTGTGTCATTTTGCTCTGAGTGTTGAATTTTTTTTCTTTCTTCTAATCATTAGGGAATTGTATAACATGTTCTTCTACAAAACTAAATTTCCACAGGTGCAATGGTGCACGATTGTATTCCTAGCAGCCTTGGAGGATGAGGCAGAAGAATTATAAATTTAAATGCTACCCTCAGCCTCTCACAAGGCCCTGAGGAAGTTTTTGAGTACTGTGTCAAAATGGCATATGTGCTGGGGATGAGGCTCAGTCATTAAGTGCCATATAAATAAATAAAATAAAATTTCTTGTAAGGTCATTAAATGTGTTTTAGTGTTTTACATTTGAATGTATAGTAAATGGATTTTTGTCTACAGAATTGAGGATATAGTGCCTTTGGCCACCCAGATTCCAGTTTGCCTGGACCATCATTGTGATCTGTATCCAAGACACCTGCTGTCACTCATCTTTCCATCCTGTGAAGGCCAGCCCAAGGAAGCCTTCTTCATGGTCTCTTGCTCACCTCTGCTGATACTGTGATGCTCAGGATATCACATGTGTTAAGTCCTTGAGAATGGTTGTATGTCAGTGGCAGGGGCACCTTCTTATAGGTGATATTTTTGGCTATTCCATCATGGAGCAGACATTATAGTATTGTTATGATTATACATGGAGTGGCGTGTTTCACACCCAAACTGTGTTAGATAGGTGAGGATTCTGGGTTGCAACCCTGCTTTTTTACACACCCTGGAAATGCTTCTGTCTTAGGTTTGTTTGAACCACCATCATTACAGGCAGGAGAAAATTCTTTCATGACAGACACCAGTGCACATGTGGCCCACTCTTGACCAAAGTGTCCTTGAGTGGAACATGGCTATGTGGAACATGACCTTATGGTAGTGAAGTGACTGCTTTTCAGTAGGTTATTGACAATCCTTGCACATTCACTGTTGCTGTGAGATTTAGAAATTCGTGTCTGCTGTTCATTAAGAAAATTGTTTTGAGACTTATAAAACTTTGCAATGTTGTTGTTTGGACATGGTGACATCTTTGGGTCATGGAGTTATATCTAAGACATGTTCCATCTTTCCCCTTACCTCATTCTGCTTTGACAGTAACCTTGAGAAATCATCAAATTTTTGTGTTTATTAATCATTGTGCATGTTTTCTATTTTATTAATTTTGTTATGGAGAAATGCACCTGCAAATATCTAGTTGTTCTCTTTGTGTAATCCCACAAGATGAACGCAATCCCCGGTTCACAAATTGTGGCAACCCAAGTGTCAATTTGTCTATATGCTGTCTGTAGGGGAATCATCTTTGTGATCCATGCTCAGACGTCATGGGTGGGGACTGTTCTATGCATTTCCTTAAAGAAGGAACAATAGACTTTCATAAAGAATCAAGAGATCAATGAATGCTGTGTTGTCTATATTAACAGTGTAGGCACAGTGACCCACTGTGGTTGGCAGAATCTCTCTCAATTACTGAGTTCTGTGATTGCAACAATTTCATAGTCAGCTTTCTTTCCTACGGGTAAGTACTATTGGGGATGTTAATATTAGCTCTCCACTGCAGAGAAGGTTGTTAGGACATGTAATAGAGGTGTAACCAACAAAGTGAGTCATGATACTGTCTTACTTCCTGTGAACTCACCAATGGAAGGGAGCAAAACACTTAGTTGCTTGCCTTCTGAGTGGCCCAATTCTAGTGTTGAAATGTGTGTGGGGAATTGAGTGCAGGAAGGATTTGATGGACCAAATCATGGAATTAATCAGAAATTCATAGAATCCTGTGGACATCAAGAATGATGAGTACATATTTCTTCTGCTGTCAATCTCTCCTGACCTCCAGTAAACATTTGTGGGATATTTTAGATCTCAGTGACCTTTGAGGATGTGGCTGTGGACTTCACCCAGGAGGAGTGGGCATTGCTGGATCCTTCCCAGAAAAACCTTTACAGAGATGTGATGCTGGAAATCCTCAGAAACCTGGCTTTTATTGGTAATAATGATTTTTTTTTAAATTAATCAAATAGAGAACTCATGTTTATTTTTGTCATTTATATACAACATTAACAGGGAATCCATTGTTGAATTATTGCAGCATAAAAGGCACCTACAATTTGGAAAGCATTTCTGTCTCCTAAAAATTCATACAGATTGTTCTGGTTTCTCATTTTAGAAAACAAATTGGATGAAAAGAATATTGAAGATGAGATAAAAAATTCTGAGAGCATTCTAAGGTAATTGTACCCACAGGAGGTGTATTTGAGGGAATCTGAGAAGGTCATATAATTTTTAAAACAGACCAACTCAAGAAGTATGCACAATTTGAAATATATTTATTTTTATAAGATTTTTTTACTAGAAATATATACTTAACTGTAACAGATATTCAGTTTTTTCCAAGTACTTGGCATGCCAAAAGTATATGAAATTGCATATGAATATCACTATTTGGATAATCACCATAGGGAAGCTGCATTGCAAAGGATTGTTTCCTTTCAATCTCTTGATTTTGAGTCAATTTGAACACATCAGGAAACCTCGCCTTACCTGATGTTGATAGTAATGTAAGCCTAGGTCCTATAAATAAGTATAAAATCATGAATGAATCAAGCATTGATAATGTGCTGGTCATTCTTCACAGAAGACATGTGGTAAACTTAAAAGGCCAAGAAGATAGTGTGGGGAAAGTTTCAATGAGATTCCAGTTCTTACCTGGACAAAGAAAAATTTTAATAGAGTAAATCCATGTGGTTGTGCCAAAGACTTCATATGCCCTTCATTACTTCATAGGCACATCACATTTCACTCTGGACACAAATGCTACAACCAGGAGGAATGTGAAGAGAAGCCACATGAATTTAAACACTATAGGCAATCCCTGGTTTCTCTAAAAAATGTTCACACACAAATGTTAATACAAACTGGAGAGGGACCTTATGAACGTACAGTATGTGGGAAAGTCTTCACTTGTTCTAGTGACATTCAAAGACATGAAGATACTCATACTGGGTTGCAACTCTATGAATATCAACAATGTGGTGAAGCCTCATCTTCTTCCACACGTGTTCAAAGACACATGAGAATACACAGTGTAGGTAAACCTTTTCAATGTGATATATGTGGGAAAGCCTTTCATTTCTCTTCTTTATTTAGAAGACATGAAATAACTCATTATGGAGAGAAACTCTATGAATGTAAACAAGATCGTGAAACCTTTATTTCACACACAAGTCTTCAAAGGCAGAGGATCACACACATGGGAAATGCATATTTCAAATGTAAGGTATGTGGGAAAGACTTTGCTTACCCCAGTTTATTTAGAATACATCAGAGAACACATACAGGAGAGAAGCCTTACGAATGTAAGCAGTGTGGCAAAGCCTTTTCTACATCCAGTTACCTTCAAATACATGGAAGAACACATACTGGAGAGAAGCCCTATGAATGTAAGCAGTGTGGAAAAGCCTTTTCTACATCCCGTTACCTTCAAATACATGGAAGAACACATATTGGAGAGAAGCCCTATGAATGTAAGCAGTGTGGCAAAGCCTTCACTTATTTGTCTGGCCTTTACAAACATGAAAAAATTCATACTGGAGACAAGTCCTATGAGTGTATGCTTTGTGGCAAAGCCTTTGCTAGTTCTAGTAACCTTCAAAGACATAGAAGAACACATATTGGAGAGAAGTCCTATAAATGTAAGGAGTGTGGAAAAGTTTTTGCAAGTTCCAGTGATCTTCAGATTCATGGAAGAACACATACTGGAGAGAAACCCTATGAGTGTAAGCAGTGTGGCAAAGCCTTTACTACATCCAGTAACCTTTACTCACATGAAAAAACTCACACTGGAGAAAAGCCCTATGAATGTAAGCAGTGTGGTAAAGCCTTTGCTGCATCAACTTCCCTTCAGATTCATGGAAGAACGCATACTGGAGAGAAGCCCTATGAGTGTAAGCAGTGTGGAAAATCCTTCACTAATTCCTCTGGCCTTCACTCACATGAAACGGTTCATAGTGGAGAGAAGCCTTATCCATGTAAGCAGTGTGGCAAAGCCTTTGCTAGGTCCATTAGCCTTCAGAGACATAGAAGAACACATACTGGGGAGAAGCCCTATGAATGTAAGCAGTGTGGAAAAGCCTTCACTCAATTCTCTGGCCTTTACTCACATAAAACAATTCATACTGCAGAGAAGCCTTACCCATGTAAGCAGTGTGGCAAAGCATTCGCTCGTTCCTCTGACCTTTACTTACATAAAACAATTCATACTGGAGAGAAGCCTTATGCATGTAAGCAGTGTGACAAAGCCTTTGCTGCATACAGTAGCCTTTACAGACATAGAAGAAAACATACTGGGGAGAAGTCCTATGAATGTAAGCATTGTGGTAATTTCTTTGCTAGTTCCAGTTACCTTGCCAAACATGAAAAAACTCATACTGGAGAAAAGCCCAATGAGTGTGAGCAGTGTGGCAAAGCCCTTTCTACATCCAGATACCTTCAGATTCATAGAAGAATGCATACTGGGGAGAAGCCCTATGAGTGTAAGCGGTGTTTCAAAGCCTTTGCTAGTTCCAGTGAACTTCAAAGACATGGAAGAATACATATCGGAGAGAAGCTCTATGGTTGTAAACAATGTGAAAAAGCCTTTGTTACATCTGCTCAGCTTCACTTACATGAAGGAACCCATAGTGCAGAGAAATCGTACTCATGAAAACAATTGGCAAAGTCTTCTGTTAATAATGTTTCACTCATTAACATGTAGTAATTTTTCTGTAGAAAAATTCTTTGAATGTGAAATGTGGGAAATCAATATTTCTTGTCAAAGTGAAAAAAGTGCTCACATGTCCAAATCTATCTATCTATGTATCTATCTATGTATCTATCTATGTATCTATCTATCTATCTATCTATCTATAGTACTGGGGATTTAGTCTGGTGGTCATCTATCACTGAGCCACAAACTTTTTCCTTTTTATTTTGAGAGAGGGACTTGCAGAGTTCTTTAGGGCCTTGCTTATGTGCTGAGTTTGGCTTCACATTTGTGATCCTTCTGCCTCAGACCCCGAGTCTCTGGGATTAAAGGCAAACACTACTAGATCCAACTGAATAAAGCTTTAAATGTGAAGATTGGAAAATCATTCAATTTTTCCTGTTGCCTTCAAAGTCATTTCACTCACACTGGAAAACAAACCCTGAGAATGTGGAAGATTTGGTACATTCTGTCAGCTTCCCATCCCAGCCCTGCTTTCCTTCTCATATATGAAAATACAGAGAGAAGCCCTGAGAATGTGATTAATGTGGGAAGTCTTCTAATTTTCCCAGTTTTTTATAAGGTCTGGGAAGACTCTTCTGAAAAGATTCATGCCAAAATGAATAAATCATGTGCAAGTAAGTGTTCAAGTGTTTCCGTTTTGTTCACTTGTATGAAAGGACTCATACTGTATTAAATCCTGTGGAAAAGCCATGTGGGGCAGTATGCAGCTTTCATGTTTTCCTTCAAAGACATAAAGGGATTGACATCAGGGAAAACCCTTCTGTTCTTTAAACAATGTGATGACACTTTCACTTTTCCATGTTCTTTTGGAACATCATGGAAGAACTCACTCTGGAGAAAAGCCTTGTGTATACAAATGTGGTGAGACTTTCAGTTGTTTCAGATCCATTTAGACTTATTTAGACTTGAGAGAATTTGTTATTTTAATTTCTTTTACTTTTTTTTGGTGCCAGGGATTCAACCCAGAAACAATTGATCACTGAGCCACATCCCACATCCTAGTTCTTTTTCTTTCTTTCTTTTTTTTCAAATATTTAGCCATGGACTAAGAATTGCTTAGGTCCTCACTATGTTGCTGAGGTTGATGTTGAACTTGTAATCCCCTGCCTCAGCCTGCTTTTCCAGTGAAATTACAGTAATGCAACCCCTTCAGCAAGAAACTTTTTTTTTGAGAAAACCACTGTAGGCAAGTAAAAAGGGTGTGTGACTTCATTTATTTTTTGTCTATTCAGAGGTAATGAGAATGCACCCAGGAGTGGATGTAGGAATTGTGTCAGCATGCAGATGTGAAGGCAACATGTTTCTCCTGGTTAAATATCTCTTTCTGTTAGATTTAATTTTTCTCTATATATTTTTTGCACCTGTTGTCAACTCTCCCATATGATGACATAATCCTATATTTACTATGTATGTGTTGGCAAAATCTAGTGTGTAGTATGATTTTGTACAAAGAAGTATGATATAGAATAGTACACAAGCTTTCTAGTTAATATGTATTAACCTGTATTTGCAGCATTTTATTTTTTTTAGAGTTTTCATCTCTCTTCTTCCCTTGAGTTCATTTTCTCTTTTATTGTCCATTTTTATGACTTTTATATATGTTTTGACAAAATATAAATTGTGAGAGGTTTTCAATATAATTACCAGGGTCATAGAATTGAGGGCAAGAGAAAATAAACATTAATATTTTAATTATCATCATCACCATCATCATCATCATCACCACCACCACCACCACCATCATCATCATATCTAAAGTGCCTAAGCCGCAGGTGGACCAATGGTACAGAATAGAGGACACAGAGACTAATCCACAAAGCTACAACTATCTTATATTTGATAAAGGAGCTAAAAGCAAGCAATGGAGGAAGGATAGCATCTTTAACAAATGGTGTTGGGAAAACTGGAAATCCATATGCAACAAAATGAAACTGAATCCCCTCCTCTCACCATGCACAAAAGTGAACTCAAAGTGGATCAAGGAGCTAGATATCAAATCAGAGACTCTGCATCTGATAGAAGAAAAAGTTGGCTACGATCTACATACTGTGGGGTCGGGCTCCAAATTCCTTAATAAAACACCCATAGCACAAGAGTTAATAACAAGAATCAAGAAATGGGACTTACTTAAACTGAAAAGTTTTTTCTCAGCAAGAGAAACAATAAGAGAGGTAAATAGGGAGCCTACATCATGGGAACAAATTTTTACTCCTCACACTTCAGATAGAACCCTAATATCCAGAGTATACAAAGAACTCAAAAAATTAGACAATAACAAATACCAAATGTCTTCTTTGATATAATGAGAGCAAATAAAAACAGAGCAGGGAGGAAGAGCAGGAAGAAAAGATTAACATTAAACAGAGACATGAGGTGGGAGGGAAAGGGAGCTAAAAGGGAAATTGCATGGTAATGGAGGGAGACCCTCATTGTTATACAAAATTACATATAAGAGGTTGGGAGGGGAATGGGAAAATAAACAAGGAGAGAAATGAATTACAGTAGATGGGGTAGAGAGAGAAGATGGGAGGGGAGGGGAGGGGGGATAGTTGAGGATAGGAAAGGTAGCAGAATACAACAGTTACTAATAGGGCATTATGTAAAAATGTGGATGTGTAACCGATGTGATTCTGCAATCTGTATTTGGGGTAAAATTGGGAGTTCATAACCAACTTGATTCTAATGTATGAAATATGATATGTCAAGAGCTTTGTAATGTTTAAAAAAATAAAATCAAATCAAATAAAAATAAAGTGCCTAAGCCCTGATCCCATCCGGACCCATTTTTATTTATTTATTTTTAAAATTTTGATTGAAGTTTTTTTTTTTTTTTTTTTTTTTTTTTAATTCTTCTAAAGGGCCTCAGTATGTTGGTGAGGCTGGATTTGAACTTGTGATTCTCACTCTATAGCCACTGGGATTACAGACGTGCTATCATGCCTGGCTCCTGGATGTTTCTTGAAACTTTGATGTAAATCATTGTTTGCCTTCTTTCTGTAGAGTTTCCAAGTCTTAGTTGATACAGAGGCAAGAATTACTTTTTAATGTGTTTATGTATACTAATGCCATTCAAGCTCTAAGATTCTAGAATGGTTCTGAGCATCACAATGACATTAATTCACACCTTATACTCCAAATTTTTATATTTCCAGTTGGACTAAACTGAAGTCCACTTGGAAAAAGTTTATTTTAGATAATTTGTGTTGAAAACAGGGTGGGAGAACTGCTTTAGTATTTAAGGGAAAAAACCTTTTCATTTCTTTTAAGATCTTATGAAAAAATGAAATGCAAGTAATCACTAAGAGTATTACAGAATTTTTTTTTAACAAATGATTTTATATTTCCCTCTGTGCACCAGACACCAGATAATCAACTTTGCAGAGTCACAGAGACTATGGAACATGGACTGGTGCTCATGTGAGTGTTATCTAGATCACCAAGTGAAACTACAAAAGCAAACACCTGAGAGGGCTGAGTTGTACCACCCACACATGCACACTCATACCCACGTGCACACGCATGTACAGGATCAAGTCACCCTTTTCACTACATACCCTCCATAGTGCAGTTCTTTCATCCTCACTGTGTAATGCAAATATTGATTTCTTTGACTTTTCTCACAACATTGCTGCCTACTACTTTTTCTCAAAAATTATTACTTCATGACTTCTCAATTTATTCTTTTGTGTCTTTCTAAACTTTGGTTACACGTTGTGTATGTGAGTTGAGGCCTGTGCACTCCAGCATTCTGTGCAGATTGGCTAAATGTCTATTTTTTTCTCCTTTGCTCCCTTCTTTCCTTTAGATTTCACTCAGGATTGCTCCACCACTGAGATTCCCCCTAGCCATTTTATTGTTATTTTTTGAAATGGGGGTGACACTGGTCTCAAACTTGTGGTCACCCTGCCTCAGCCTGCTAGCATCTGGGACCATAGAGATGTGCCCTTTTGTGTCCTGAAACTGGCCTCTTCCATTTCCTTGGTGCCTTATTGTCCTGTTGATGACTCTGGGACCACCATTCTGTCGTATTTCTTCTAAGTCTCATGTGTTGCGTTGTATGTAGGCACATTTAAGGGCATTATAAAAGTTGTAATGTGTATGTATTGTTTGGAGAGGCATCTTCTCAAAATATACTTTGCCCTGTACTTAATTGAGTGGCTTTCTATTTCTTCTCTTTCCCTGGTGCCAGGGACCCAAACCTGCCTTGTGCCTGTTAGACAGGCACTCTAGCACTGAGCACTCTCCTAGCTCAGGTAGTAAGTTTGCTGCTGCTGTGTGCATGGACCCCACTGATGACCACGTCGGTAGATGCAGCTCTGCAGGTTTTCCTCCACGTTTTCACCTGGTCCCTTTCTTCTTAAACATATTTAACAGCAGGGAATTTTATTTATTTATCTTTTTAATTTTATCAATTGAATGGTTAACAACCATCAATAGATTTTAACCTCCTTTGACATTCCTTTTTTTTTTAAGAGAGAATTTTAATATTTATTTTTTTAGTTTGCGGCAGACACAGCATCTTTGTTTGTATGTGGTACTGAGGATCGAACCCGGGCCACACACATGCCAGGCGAGCACGCTACCCCTTGAGCCACATCCCCAGCCCAAGACAGCAGGGAATTTTAACCACTGACATCCAATTTAGCTTTTTTCACCATGATTAATACTTAGGTGGAATATGCTAGAAAACCCAGGCTGGACTTCTCTCTGTGTTCAGGGTACCTCAGTAGCCCTGGGAACCTCCTGTGATGATTTTTTTTTCATACACAGCATGTAATCAAAACTAGGTAAGGAGGGCCCCAGTCGAATGTCCTAATGTATTGGTGCCCCCTTCTGCACCTAAGAATCTTTTCTTAAAAAAATATTTTTATTAGTTGTTGATGAATTTCTTTTTACTTATTTGTATGTGGAGCTGAGAATTGAACCTATGGCGTTGCACATGCTAGGCAAGCGTTCTACCGCTGAGCCACAACCCCAGTCCTGCACCTAAGAATTGTAAATAAGCTTCTCCAGAGACCCTCACCATAATTTTCTTTAAAACAAATATCAGGAAAAGGTTTTGCAAAGAACTCAATATGTGTTGAATGAAGATTTAATGATGTTAATTCTTCTTTTCTGGTAAAGCGTGGAAGACCTCTGAATAATCTCAAAAATCATTAAAAGTTCACTTTCATTGAACAACCAAAAAAAATTTTTATAGACTCCTATAAATAAATAAATAAACCTCCACCCCCTCCCACTGGGTGTAAAGATAATGAAATTACAACATCAAGCTCCACAAAATTTTAGGTGATACCCTTGTAAGCCCTGCTGTGAATAAGTCTGCTCCTGAAATTTTCCCAAGTATCCAGCCTCATCTGC